GATGTACTGTAATATTCTGAAGAATACTTTGTGTAACACGGTCGTCTGATATACTGTAGTATTCTGAAAAATACTTTGTGAAACACGGTGGTCTGATATACTGTAGTATTCTGAAGAATACTTTGTGTAACACGGTGGTCTGATATACTGTAGTATTCTGAAGAATACTTTGTGTAACACGGTGGTCTGATATACTGTAATATTCTGAAGAATACTTTGTGTAACACGGTGGTCTGATATACTGTAATATTCTGAAGAATAATTTGTGTAACACGGTGGTCTGATATTATCAGACCACCGTGTTACACAAAGTATTCTTCAGAATACTACAGTATATCAGACCACCGTGTTACACAAAGTATTCGTCAGAATATTACAGTATATCAGACCATCGTGTTACACAGAGTATTCTTCAGAATATTACAGTATACCAGACCACCATGTTACACAAAGTATTCTTCAGAATATTACAGCATACTGTAATATTCTGAAGAATACTTTGTGTAACACGGTGAGGTTTTTTGTTTTTGGATATCTTGACTTATACAAAGTTGAGAATTAACTTTTCAGATCAGGTTTTTTGTTTTTGGATATCTTGACTTATACAAAGTTGAGAATTAACTTTTCAGATCAGGTTTTTTGTTTTTGGATATCTTGACTTATACAAAGTTGAGAATTAACTTTTCAGATCAGGTTTTTTGTTTTTGGATATCTTGACTTATACAAAGTTGAGAATTAACTTTTCAGATCAGGTTTTTTGTTTTTGGATATCTTGACTTATACGAAGTTGAGAATTAACTTTTCAGATCAGCATTGTCTAAGGAAGGAAATATTGTTTCTCCTTTTGACGATTTTTATATTTGTGTTACGAAAGTTAGAGATAGTTGCACAGTACGATAGACTTACTGTGGTGGACAAGTGAGGGGGCAAACTAGAAAAATATACCTACGACAAGTAATTGCCGTGATGGATATAAATTTGATGACGAGGAACCCACATTTGGAAAATAAACGTTTGGAGACGGCTTGAATGGGTAATGAAGAAAACTTTATTATAAATGTACAACGTTTCGACAAACTTGTGGAAACGTTTTACATTTATAATAAAGTTTTCTTTATTACCCATTCAAGCCGTCTCCAAACATTTATTTAATTCATAGTCCCTTAGCAACCACTGGTCCACGACATCTAGGTGTTAGTTCCATGATAACCACTTTTCCCCGATAGCTCTTTTGAAAATTAGCTTTTCCTAAAACACTAGGAGGTGCTTATACTTTGACAATCTGACGTTATCATCAACCATAATTTCTTGTAGCTTTGCATTCTACAAACTTCAACTAATTTTATTTTGATAAGCTGTATTTAGGAGATTTTCTCTTTCCTATAGGAATAATTCATGTGCAGTGAAGATTAACTGTCAAGGAAAGGGATATTAGTTCAGTTGATGTGCATAATGGGCTGTCAACAAGCAATATCTTATATATCTCTTCCACTGACATTCAGATGATAATAGTATATAAGATATTACTTGTTGACAGCTACTAAATTATTGGCTTATTTCTTGAAGACCAATTTACCATAAAATACAACTTGTTGCTTCTTGATAATCCATAGTTCACAACCCCTAGATGATAATTTCTTGAGAACCTATACTTTATGCTACTTGAAAGGTTATCTCTGGATATCCCATTGTTCATAGGACCTAGATGATAGCTAGTAAATATTCTACTTGAAAGGTTATATTTTAATAACACATTGTTCTCAACAACTAGACGATAATATCTTGATAACTTGTGTTTTATGGTACTTGAAAGTGTATCATTTAACTCCGTAACACGTGATTATGTAATTTTTTAATTACCGAGAGCGTCGTTGTTAAATGAACTAACAATTACATAAAAAGTCACTTTTTAAGAAAGAAGGGTGTTATACTTTTCTGTCCGAGGAAGTTTAAAGGTTTTCTAACAATAGATAGATATATTATCGCAAATGGCTCGAACTTTGTTGATAAACTCTGTAAGCAGACGTGACATATGAACTGGGAGAGGTATAAACAGTAAAAATCGCATTTTTTAACTTTAGCTTAATCCTTTCCATGTCAATTTATTTTATTTTATTTTTTGGAAATGAGCTCAAAAAGGCAGTTTTTAATTTGTATTTTTGATAGCTTATTGTATTACATGATAAATTCGGGCAAAAACATGTAATATACGATGAGAAATGGGCCAATCACGGAAGGAATTAATGAACTGTGCTTGTTGGACCATGTGGTAAAGCTCAGGATTTCGGATCTGGTGAGCTGGGTTCTAATTCGTGCGATACCACTTAATATTTCTCTGTGGCTGCGTACTAAAAATATCAGTCAATCTGTTAGCGTGAATGGCGAGTGGCAGGGTGCTGTTGATTGGCTGACTTCCCTCTGGTCAGTAGCTCAAAATTAGGTACGGGGCAGATAGTCGTAGTAACTTTACCATATATACAAATACAAGCTTAGTGAAGTTTATATTAAATACATCATACATACTATTTTTGTTGTGTTTTCGCTAAATTACATAATCTATCTATAAGTTAATGAAATTAATTTCTGAGTGCTTATACATGCTTACTAATTACACAACTTTACTTAATAGTGACGGACAAATTGAAGGCCTAAGATCAAGCAGTCACTAAGAAACAGGACCCTGCTACAGCACAAAGTAATATGTTCATTGCATTACCTTTGTATTCAATAACTTGAAGAGTTAGGTGTGTTTCAAACAACAGGATCAGGAGATCATAAATTTAAGCCCAAAATATAACCTCAGAGAAGTCACGTGACACCATAGAAGTGACATAACATCGGAGAATTCACGTAACATCATAGAAGTCACATCAGGGAAAAGCCACATGACGTCAGAGAAGTAGTCACGTAACACCATAGAAATGACATAACATTAGGAAAGTGACATAACGTTAAATATTTCATGTAACACCATAGAAGTTGCATAACATCACGGAAGTCACATGTCATATAAGTGATAACAGGGAAGTCACATAACGTCAGAGAAGTGACGTGACATCACAGAAGTCGCTTAACGTTATAGAAGTTATATAGTATTAGTCTAAGGTAAATATAGTAAATGGATAAGACTAAAAAACAAACAATTAAATCTAGGAGTTTCAGTAGTCGAGTTTCATAGATCTGTTAATGTAATCCACCTCCATAAAACCACTAACTTAGTGGATGGTTAGAGGCAATAAATTGAGTAATGTTTAATTTTTAATTCAAGCAATCTCGTTAGTGAGTTGAAATGAAACTGAAAGAGAAGTATAAGATTACCAGTGATGAAGGTTGCCACAATATCTATTTTCAGGTCCAGTTTCAGTAAATCATTTAAAGAATGTAAACTTATGGGGAATGAATTGTGTTAATTTATTAATTGTTAGTGGTAGTAACAGTCATAATCTCAAACCTACGGTGAAAATTTGTGTAAATTTATTAATTGTTAGTGGTAGTAACAGTCATAACCTCAAATTTGTGTAAATTTATTAATTCGCACCCACGGCTGAAAGGCGAGCATGTTCGACAAGAGGTATCGATCCCGCGGATTGCGAGCCAAGTGCTCTAACCACCAAACCATGTTAAGCCTAGTTTGGCCGAAGCAAATTTTGGCTATTACTTAACTCAGTACCGCCAGCAATGAGACAATCAACTGATAAATTTACACAAAGTTCTCACCGTAGGTTTGAGATTACGACTGTTACTAACACTAACAATTAATAAATTAACACAAAGTTCTCACCGTAGGTTTGAGATTACGACTGTTACTACCACTGATTATAATTTGTCGGTTAATCCCACTATCCCTTAGTAACAGATTAGCTAAAGAGTTGAAGGTGAGTGGTATTGACTACTTGCCTTCCCTCCAGTCTATCGTTTCAAAATTAGGGTTGGCAAGCGCAGATAGCCCTCGTGTAGACTTGCTCGAGAATTTCAAGAAACAATGCGATGAACACTTCTTTTTAAAGAAAACTGAACAACCCCTTTCTCAAGGAAAGTCGCCACAATCTCTTTTAACAGACCAACTAAACATTTCTTTAAAAAGGGTATTGGTCGCTTGGCTGTCTATCTACAACGTTTGCTTTATTGTAAACATTCAAGAGCGTAGCCGAGAAATTTTCCATTGTGATTAATCTCTGTTTGTTATAATGAGTTTTTGTACAATTTGAAACGTAGATAAAAATGGTCACTTGAGGAAAACTATTTTAACTTCATGTTGTCGAACCCAACAATAGAATTCTGTTTTAAGCATTACGTTTTGAGTTCATAAGTTTTCAATATCTGAGAATATACTCGTAATGTTACACAATTTTCCTTCACAAGATAGCAGCACTGTAGCTGTCCGACGGATGCACCCACGTGGGACGAGATTAATGCGAGGAGTTACTCTAAACAAAGACAGAATTATGGAGCGTTCAAATTCTGAATTCGAAGTCCTAACTGAGCCCACCACTGAAGTATGTGAGAAGGCTGCCTCTAGGTTGGTTTGTTTTTTGACAGTATATTTTTTACAATATAATATTTCGGGTTTTTTTACACTATTTGATCTTGATAGCCCCCCCCCCCCTAAAAAAAAAAAACAGTTCACAT